GGCTTGGGGTTGTGAATTTGAGCAGGAACGCTCTGGAAGGGCAAATTCCGGACGTTTTCTCTGCCAATTCCTACTTCACGGAGTTCGACGTGTCGTTCAACGATCTAAAGGGTCCGATACCAAAATCACTGTCGTCTGCACAATACATCGGGCTCGTGGATTTTAGCCATAACCATTTATGCGGGGCGATACCCATCGGGCCGCCATTCGATCACCTCGAAGCGTCGTCGTTTACCAACAACGATTGCCTTTGCGGGACCCCGTTGAAGAGATGCTGAAGAAAATTTCCGGGTAACAGACCCGATGGATCCGGGTCGGCTTCCTGTTTCGGACTTGGGGATGTGATAATATAAAATGCGGTGTGCGAGCGAGTGGCAATTGTGAGTCTCATTTATTATTTTATATTATTATTATTATTTAGAGAATATATTTAACTACTTACCAATGAGAAACAAAAATGTGACAGAAATGCAAAAATTACCATTAAAATTTGACAAAAATACAAAAATAGAGAGTTTTTTAAAAATAATAAGTTTTCAATTTTTCAAAATTTAGTAAATACCTCTGACTGCTCCATTATGTTGAGACAATATATTAACTTGTTGGCTAAATTATACAAAATACTCCTAAATTTGGATCATTTTTTCAATAACACCCCTAAGCTTCAAAAAATTGCATTAATGCTGCTTGACCTTTTAAAAAAATTCAAAACTACCTTTACTGTTAGTAGCTTAAACGGAATACTCATGCGGATATTAATATATGAACAACTATATTACTTGGAAAATAGAGGGGGGATTAAGGCAAAAAAAAATGTTTATTTAATAATAACAATAAAAAATGGGAAGTGCATATATCCCAATAAAAGAATCATAAGTTCAAAACCATTTTTTTACCTAGGGGGTGTATAGCACGAAAAATCTTTGAGGGCCGTTCACATGAAAGAAGAGAGACTTTCTTCTCTTCTTGAGAGACTTTCTTCTCTTCTTTCTCTTTTTCGAGGGTCTTATGGGGGAGGGGGGACATTCGGGCGCATTTCTCAAAATCCTCCTCAAAATCCTCCACTGCATCCAAGATCACAAGTGGAACGCTAGTGTATTGTTGTACTAAGAAAAAATAACTACAAACATCTTTGTTAATATTTTTTGTCCATGTTGTAACGATTTAGTTCATGAACTTTCAAATCGGGGACTTAAAGTTTATAACAAAATCGTTAAAATTTTTGTTAAGTTACTTCTATATATAAATCAGGAGATATTTTTTCGAGGCAGATGGCTGGTCTAATATGTCAGAATCAATAACATGAAACATAAAATCTCTGAAAGGGTATAAATCAAATAAATTTTAACTCTTCACCCCAGTTTAATAAATCCTCAAGTCAAAAATGGATACGTGAGACAATAAAATAACAAAAATGGACCTAGTTTTGGCAAGCTGATCTAATCCTCTTCATCGATGACCTTGGTACCCAAGCCCTTCAATCCTTCTGCAGGTACCTCTGCTACTGTTACTAAAGAGTAGAATTCCTCCTTGGCATCTTCCTCATCATTTCGCTTTTGTGCAATGCGGACACGGACCCTCCTAGGCACACTCCTAATTCCACGACTCCATATATGCTTGTTAAGTTTCACGTCGACTCTAACATCGGTGGTACCCATAGCCTTCTGAGCAAATTTTCTGAGTTCCTTTATAGCATTTGGTGCCTTCTTCTTGAATGTGCTGCATAAGAGTAGCAAGAATAAAAGGTCGATAAAAGTATCCAAGAAAACAAAAGGTATATAACAAGATAGGAAGCACATGGAATTCAAATGAGACTACTTATTACAAGAACAACAGAGATTGAAGCTGTGTCAGTCATACTAAAAAACAAGAATACCAACGGGCAACGGGTAACACGGTATCTCCTTCCAGAACTTGCACTGTTTCTCCATTAAATATGAAAATATTAAAGGACAAACTTCTGGATCACTATTTTAAAGATCAACATTACTGAAGCAGTTCTTACTATAAACTGCTTAAACTGGCATGTCACAATATTATGTCATAAAAAAAACTCAAGGAAAGGAGTACAGGGACAGAAGCCAGTGCCAACTCAGGATCTATCTAATGAACAAACTAAATAGAGACAAAAAGTGAAGCAAACACGCAAGTAAAACAACCAATTGGTCTATCAATGATGTATTACAATCCAAATATGCACACAGGTCAGAAACGTCACTAGAAGGAAAATGAATATCAATATCACATCGGCAACAAACTCCTTCAACCTGCAAAGCTCTTTGAGTGGATGTTTTTCTAGGACCGAATTGAAGACAGTCCTTTCAAGAAGAAAGATGAGAACCGTGTGTGCCTATAAGTTCTTGCAGAAGCTATATAACATGTAATAACATCAGTTGTTCATTTCGATCCAAAACTTCGATCCCAAAAATAAATTTTTTTGTGGCAGAATAATGCCAAACCCATCTAACGCAACTAATATAACTTGCTAACTGAACCACACTCACAACAATCCGAACTATACTAATTACTAACTGCCTCCCAACAATATAACTTGCTAACTGCAATATAATCTTCCTATGTCTCTTATCCAAAAAAAAAAAAATAATAATAAAATCTAAGTACAACAAAGAATATTGAACTCCCATATTGCCACCAATTCAATTCAAGCACACACTAAAATAAACAATCCTGACGATATGTCACTCGAACAACTCACAAATCATAACTCATCAACAGTAAGATCGAACGCCAAGATATTCATGTCAAAGCTACACATTGTCCGCTATTGCAAAACTTAGTTTTCACTCCAAGGGGCTAAAAATTTAAGTCAAATGAATAATTTTTATATCTGACGACATAAAACCATAACAGATGGATCCGTAAGTTTGAACATTAAAATAAAATTACAGAATGATCAAAAACCTTCCGATCAAAAGGACCCAGAAAACTGAATTTAAGTTGAATAATCTTCAGCCAGGCTTTTCACCAGATCTAAACCAGTATATCCGAGAGAAAGAGAGTGAGAGAGAGTTACCATCCGTGCAGGCGCTTGTGGAGATTAACGGTGTACTCCCTGGTGACGACCTCGCTCTTTCTTGCCTTGGCCGACTTGTCCGCCATTTCTGCTCCCGGCCCTGCTCTCTGCCGCTAAAGATGAAACCCTGTCAAACCCGATGAAACGACGGGCAAGGGAACATCTTATGTTGGTTGGCTGTATTTTATAAATTCACATTTTTAAAAAATCCTTAAAACAAATTAAATCTTCAGTATTATGTTATTTTAACCGTTTTATTTATTATTATTTTTTTAATCTACTTTATTTTTGTTTGGGCATGTGTATTAGGGTAATTTAAATATGTGCGCAATAAAACAGCATAAATTTAGATGGTAAAATAATATTAATGATTATTTTTATAAATTTTAATTGATTAAAATAATTATCCTGAAAAAAGTAATTATTATTATAAAATTTAAAGGGTAACAAATTTTGAAAATTCAATGATTAAAATTCAGCCACATACATATAGGTTCTAGAGTTAATACATTCATATTTTTTTTAGGTAAGAAAAAATCAAATGATCAAAAAAATATTTAAAATTTTGTAGTTTTTTTATTAAGCCCTTTAATTTTTAGAAATGAAATATTATATATATAACATGTCAAAATACACTTTCGGTCACGACGTGTAAAATTGGGGTCAATTTGTTACCTTTGATCTCTACCTTGGACGGTGTCAAAAGAACACTAAATTTTCAGGTTTCAAAAATTTCACTTTTAGTTCTTATCCATTTGATCATTGAAATTTGATTTTATTGTATTTTGGTTACCTGTTTAAAACTTCATAGACCGAATAGACAATAAATTTCAAACGTATTTTGCCCCATATAAAATGTTACCAAATTTTTTTCTTCCCAGAAAATTTCTGACCCTGGCCTAAAGCTAGATTTATCTTTGTCAAAATAAAACAATTTTATATTTTGAAAAAAAAAGTTTATTTATTGGAATCACGTGATCGGGCCGGAATATAATTGGGCCGGAGTCCAACTGCCTATGGTTTGGAGGGTACCTTTCCCGCCATCGAGCATTTTTCTCAACGAGCAAATCTAGGGCACATTCTCTCCGCTCCTCACCACTTCCATTCAAAGTGAGCTCCAATTCACACTCTTTCTTTGCACATATTTTGGTTTTGATCACTGTTCTTTCGCTTACTGTATGTTGCAGTTCTCAAATCTTGATTTTCAGATACATAATGCACAAACTTCGCCAAGTTTATTTGCATCGACTAGCAGATGGATTTTTCCTTTTTCGCTCGTTGTAATTTGTTGCATTTCTTGGATATTTCAGGCTTATCGTTCGTTTAATTCCAAAGAGGAGCCGAGAAAACGCTAGTGCGATGGTAAATTTCTGAAAGATTAGGTCAATTTAATTTTGTATGGTGGTTGATTTGAAGTATAATATGATTTTCCTATCGTTTGTTTTAACAGTCTGGGAGAAAAGAAACTGTTCTGGATTTGGCTAAGTTTGTGGACAAAGGCGTCCAAGTGAAGCTTACCGGTGGCAGACAAGGTTATTTCTACTGATTATGCTAACAGTATTACTGCCATCGACATTCGATTGGTTTCTTTCCGATTGGTTATTTTTTTCCTTCTTTTATTCTTTTTCGAGTTTGTGCTTGTGCGTTGTGATAAAGATTCAAGAGCATCAAGGCTCTTAATCGGATGTCTGATGATGAGATATTTATTTATTTATTCTGTTTTTAAGTGCTAAAAAAGTGTTCTATAAACCTTATTTCACATTTGCAGTTACGGGGACGCTGAAAGGATATGATCAATTGCTAAATCTTGTGCTGGATGAAGCTATAGAGTTTTTAAGAGGTAACCAATTTACTGGCTACTGGCAGAACATATGAGATTTGTGGAATTTCATAGGCATTTAGAATGAAAGTTTGAGTACTGATACTAGAATTCATATCATTTTTCTTATTTATCATCTTGTTCCTTTGTAGGAAGACTATTTTAAATGTATTTGTCTCCAAGGTTAACATGATGCATCAAACTCTTATTACCGACATTCTCCATCATGTTTGAGCTTGAAAACCAATGTTGAAATTTAATGTATTTTCAGCATGCTGAAACATGTCATAGATGCTTATAGGCACTTTCCAGTGGTAAATAAAATGAAACCCCAGAAAAGTGATGTGGCAGTGCCGCAGTGTAGTAAATAATGTTTCATACGAAACATTGTTTTTGTTGTAGTTGTTTTGTTTATGCATATCCATTTTTTGTAGGAAATAGATATGTCATTGATATGATGAAACATACAAATAGTTTTTGTTTCCTCTCTTTTTGAATTTTGGATGTATTTTTTATTTTATGTTTTAGATTATTGCATAAACTAGAAATTCTTAATTTGCAATGTTATCTTTTACATCTTTACATCACTACATTTTAGATAATATATGTGTACCTATACTCTATTATAAGATTTTGCTTGAATATAAATTGCCAATATGTGCAAATCTGTATTAAAGTTTGTCATAATATTTGCAAACAACCATTTCGTCTGACTATTTTTAGTTGTAACTTCAATTCATATACATAAGTGAATTTCTGATTGAACATGTTTGTGTGTGGATACATGGACAAAAGAGGAAGACAAGAATCAAAGATGTGATTAAAAAATGAAAGTGTTAAACCTCTATATTATTTATCAACCGTGGGGATACATGTAAGGGAAATTTCAAGAGCTCCCAATCTCTCCCCCGCGTTTCCTACCAAATGCATACCCCCTATACCTCTACTATGTAGCTTATATGTACTCATAAATACGACTAACAAACTTGCCGAATGTTACTCTCTGACCCCCCAAGTTGGGCCCACGCACTGACTAACATTATTTTCCTCATACTACCTCTTCCTTACACGCTTACATTTATGCACCTTGACTGTTAGAGGCCTACCAGAAATTGCATACCAATTTGAGGCAAAATTTAGATAGTGTCCATAACTATATATGATCAAAATCTTTTTGTTTATCTCCTTCTGAAGTCCCAAAAAGGAGATTTGATGGGTTTGAACCATATCATCATCCTATTTGAACATACGCTTACAAAGATCATTTGAACAAGCCTTGATTGGCTGATTATTTGTTATTGGAGCACCATTGAAGGATGGAAATTTCCAGTAGTAGCTCATGCGCACAGGAACTGGATGGGTGGGAAATGAAGAGATGTTGTTAGTCCTCAAAATTTCCTTTGCAAAGAGCTCACCACTTAGAAAACTATGAAGGTGGCTTAGGTATCGGCAACATCAAGCACAGAAATGCTGCTCTACTCTTGAAATGGATTTGGCATTTCACCAGCTATGGAGGAAGTTCATCAAGGCAAAATATGGTGGAACCAATTCTGAAATTTGGCCATTCAATCGTTACAGCTCCTGGTGCAATATTCTTACACACATCAACCTCATTAGATCCAATGCAGTCTGCCGAGTGGGAGAAAACAGTTTCATCAGCTTCTGGAACGATAATTGGCTCAAAACAGAAACTTTGGCAACCCTCTACCCCAGACTGTTTGCCCTATCTACTAATAAAGATGCTAAAATAACAGACCTTTGGTCCACAGCCACCAAATCATGGGATTATTGCTTCCGTAGGCCTCTTAAAGACATCGAAGTTGAAGATTGGATGCTACTGTCCACCAAACTCAATTACATGTCGCCCCTCCCAAATACAGACAGATGGATTTGGCCCCTTGATTCATCCAAAAAATTTTCCACAAAATCCATCTACTCCTCTATCTGACATCTTCGGGAAGCCAACAGCCACAAAATCTCTTCTATAGCATCTGGAAAGGAAAATGCCCCAAGAAAAATAAGTTTTTCTGTTGGGAACTTAGCCATGGGGCTATCAATACTTTTGTCAAGATCCAAAGAAGGTTGCCACACATAGCCCTCCCACCAAATTTTTGTCTGCTTTGCTACAAATGAGCTGAAACACCAGGACACCTCTTTATCACTTGTATTTTGCCTCAAACTTCTGGAACATGTGTCTTTGGACCTTTGGTTGGCACACTGCTCTTCACAACCACCCGTCGATCTTCCATTGCCCTAACCTCAAATTGTAGGGCTTTCTTGTAATTAGCCATCATGGCTTTTTTGGTTATTTCATACATCAATGTAATACTTGTTTCTTACCAAAAAAAAGGAAACTATACAGTATTAGGGAACTTCTTCTGAATTCTATCCGTGGTGTTCGTATGCTCTAGCACCAAGGTTCAGAGAACAAACTAGACCTTTTTTGCAGCCCGGCCTTCCAGATAGCCTTGGAGAGCCATTTCTCTAAAATTGAGGATGTGTATGGAAATCTTATAATGGTCGTAAAAAAATTATTTAGGAACTGGTATATGAGTCCATGGAGTTTCATCCAGATTTCCACCTCCATTTGGTGTTTTATTCACCAAGTATTGAACACATAAGGTCAAGAAACACTAGCATGGAAATGTGATATAGTTTTTATATGCAACAGAGTTCAAATTTCACGTACTAACAACCTTTGGAGGCTCTTTCCTGAGGGCAAGGATTTATATTTTCCCAAATCAAGTTGCTTTATTCTAGTGGTGATGTGTTTCTATTGTTTTGATTTTTGTCCCGTGCCCTATTTTCTTAATCCAAAAATTCTCTTTGGTCGACTTACTAGTTCGTTTGTCATGTTTTTCTCTTTTGTGGTAATAATGGCCTTTTACTTTTGTTCGTTGGGAACTTTTTAGATTGAGTAATACGTTTTAACATTATCCTTATACCTGTTCCTGCTATGCTTTGATGGCACTGTAGGAAATATCTGATAATACTGACTAAAGTTTTATTTGTTTTCTGCAGATCCTGACGATCCATTGAAGACAACAGACCAAACTAGACGTCTTGGCCTAATTGTATGATTCTTAAAAATGCCTCTACATATTTTCATTTTCATTTAAAAGAAAGCAACTATATTAGAGCGATGGATACCATGAGCAATTTTATCAAATTTTCTGCACAGAGTTGTATTATGTAAGCGTGCAATTTTAGACTTTATTTTGACAATCGTAAGCATCTGTGCACTAAACAGATTAGATTATCTTAATTAACGTGAAAATTTCAGAGTTTTTATTTATTTCAAATAAAAAGTAGCCATCAAACCTGCAGTGGATAATAGTATTCTGAATTTCCTGTGTGCTTTATGCTTTCTCTTCCTCTGTCTTATTTTATTGTAGTTTTAGGGTTTTACATTTATAATGAAAAATTGGTTTGAAAATTTTAATTTTATTCTATCACGAGGAAAAAAGTGAAAGTTTGGCTCTTCTTCAGTGTTCATGTGCAGGAGGAAATACATTTTCTCTAAAGCGTGCTTCTTTGTTCTTAGATTCCTTTCTTTCGTATTGGCCATGAGCCTATGTGATCAATTTGCATACTATTATCCACTGCAGGTTTGCAGGGGAACTGCTGTAATGCTCGTGTCTCCAGTTGATGGTACAGACGAGATCGCTAACCCCTTTATCCAACCGGACGGTGCATCGATGTAATTTTTGTTTACTCTAATTTCCCTGTTCTGTATCTGAATATCAAGTTCCGCCCTTTACTTTGTGATTTCTCTTTCTTTCTCTCAAACAATTAAGTTTCAACCCTTCTATCTACGTGGAGCACTTATCATGTGAAGTAAAACGGTGAAATTTTGTTAACTCTTCAGTCTTTTTTACCGCTTTCTTTGAGTTTACTGTTTTGTGTGTCTTCACTTTGGATGCCTTCCCCAAGTCTTAAAAGAGTCCATAATGCTGTTATGGCATTGCCCAATCAGCTATTGCCTGATACTGACAAAGAACTGATGGTGTAGAAAGTGACATGGATCCTCCTGCTTATTTGGCCGACAAAGGGCTTCTTTTGTTGATAGCCAACTTGCTCTCTCTTTCGGCACATGTGACTTTATGCCAACCATGTGAGCTGCAACTTGTGCTGGTAAGCTTTTCTAGACATCTCTCAAATAGTTTCTAAACTTAATTTTACTTTTTTCATTGGGAGTATTCTGATATATTCCAATTCCATGACTTGCAAAAGAGGGAAACATCAAGCAAATTGCATGCCATATTTCCCCCAAGTGGGATTTGGAAATTTGCACATAGTCCAACAAGTGAATATTAAGATGGGGAAGGAAATAACATTATAGGGATTTGAACACATGATCTTGTGCTCTGATAACACATTAAATTTAATTTAAGTTGATAGGTTATGATAAATTTAATATTTTTATAGATATCAGAGCTGATTTTTTTATATAAAAAATTATTTCTTTCTGTGAAATCAAGAATACCTTTACATGACAGTAACAAACAGGAAAGTATGAGACTTTTTTGGGATTAAGAATCGACAACAAGGTGAGACTGATATGAGTGTATTTTTTTCTTTCTTTTTTTCTTTTTTCCTTTTTGGGCTATTTTTAAATTTCATGGCTCCTTTTTTTTTCTTTTGTTCGTTTGTTCTTTTTGGGTTATTTTTAAATTTCATGGCTCCTCCTTCAAGCCCTCCAAAGCTAATGGTTGCTTTCACAGACTGTCAGAGGTAAAGGAGAGCCTAAACAGTACACTTTGTCTTGTTATCTTTTAGAGGGAGTTTCTCTTTGATTTCTGATAAAATTATAATCATATGTCAAGTTTTCATCGAAACATCATGGGATGAGTCTCTGTAATCAAAACCGAAGTTTTGATTCAGATACTTTAGGAAGTATATCCTCCCCCTGATGTTACTAATTTATAGATTATGTGAGATTTTTGTCCACGTACTTCGACTTTTTTGACATTCTGGACTCACTTTTCTTATTCTTATTATAACAATTTAATCCTAAACATAAATTTTTTTAGTACTACAAGAGTAGAGTACTTGTGTTTATATTATGAATTTTGCCATTATAAATAATCTTTATCGTCAGAGTTCTCGCAGCTCACTTGACAAACAATAAATGGGGGTAATATCATGTTTTTTAAAAATTCTCTCTTTTATCTTTGAATGAGTTAATCAGTGTTGAACAGTTAACTTTTATATATTTGTTTTTGACACATTTTAGGGGATCCATTGAATAGCATATTCCTAGATTGCTCTTTCCACCTCTTAACATCAAGGATTTAATTGTTTTGACCAAAATTCCTTAATAGTTTAATTAGATTTTCTTTCATTATTTTTTCTTTGGGGGAGCTGATGTGAGCCAAATCCAATAATCTTGCAGCCAAAAGGTGGAGAAGAAAAGTAAAATCCAAAGTCGGCAGATTAGATAGAAATTGATTGTGTTGGCTTTGGTGTCACAGTCCATCCTTCTGTCCACTTGTGTGCCATTTGCATAATATTTATTAAGCACCAATTTATGTTACAATTTTCTCTTAGTGCACATTCTATTCCTCTCCAATATTAGCATGTCAATTTTGAACCCCAATTTTCACTTTCAAACAACTTATGATATTTTCCTTGAGAGACTTCTTTTTAAACTTTTACTCTAATAATATTTATTTCCTCTCCCTACCTATTACGTCATAGGTGGATTAAGTTGTCAAATTTGAACCCTAATTTTATCTTTTTTTCAATAACTTGTGACATTTTTTTCCATGAGAAACTTCTATTTCGAACTTTGGTATAATAATATTTATCTCCTCTCCCTACCTGTTACGTTAATGGTGGACTCAAGTTTCTATTGATTTTGCTTGGTTTTTTAATTTCTAAATGATTTTAGTCCTTAAAATTTTCATTAAACAACTTTTCAATCATTTCCATCAACTTCCTTTAATATTTTTTATAATTTTGAATTGACATCTGACCTACATGTCGTTTTTCATATATTTTTTGTCAAATTTCTGTTATAAATAGTTTACTTAAAAAATTAATGACCAAGGAAGAAAATAATTTTATATGCAAAATTTAGATTTTTTTTTTTTTTTTTGAGTACCAAATATAGATATTGTTACCATGGAAGTATGAAAGTTGTGAAGATGGAATTCACTCTTTATTTATATGAAAAAGGAAATACTATTATACATTTTTTTTTCAATTGTTTAATTCATAGGTTGGGAAATTGAACCATTGACCTTAATAGATGTCTTATTTAGTTATATATTTTTCTTGAGTTGAAAAGTGACGCAATTCTGAAAATTAGGCAACTTTTGTTAACACCTTTTGAAAATATGAAACCCATAATTTTGTAAGGAAAAATAAAGTAAAATTTGTGGTGCCCACCTAATCTTGATTTCTTATTATTATTATTATTATTATTTTCTTAACAAAAGTTAATGGGATGGAAAAAGAGACTGCCCATAAAAAAAAAATAATAATAATAAAAAAGGATGGAGATGGCATCCCATGCCTCTCTATTTTATTATGGTCCCTACAAAGAGTACAAGTGGCACTATTTGGGTCCACATTTCACTTCAAAGTATTGTTCTCTTAGGAAATTAGCCATCCTTCCCACCTGATAAAAAACTACCCATCATCTCACCAATACCACATTTCATTTGTGGCTTCCCCAAACCAACTGTACCAACACAACCACTTTTCTTTTTCTCTCTCTCTCTCTCTTTTTTTAAGTTGTGAAAAGAATAACAATGTTTTTGAAGGAAGAGCTTGTGATTGTGAAGCATTTTCCACCACTATTCCATGGTTAAATTTTGAAAAAGGAATGATGGAAATATAGTGCGAATGAAATATGTGAAATTTACTCTGGATTTCAATTCGGTTAAGTACGTACCAAAAATAAGTTGGTTTTTTTCCTTTAAATAATGTAATTGTACATTCATATTCTTCTTTTAGCTAAAGAAATGAAGAACAATTTAGGTACGAATGAGAATGTTTACTAAAATCAGTTCTCACTCTTTGGTGTGGCACAAAGCTCAATTGGAGGAAAAAGGGAGTGGATTTGAGGAAAAAAAAAGTTTAAAATATGAAGGAAAATTCATTTACAATAGGAGTATAAAAATTGATACTATTTTTGAAAGGCTAATTTAATCACGATCCACATGACCACTAATTCAATCTTTGCAAAGAGGGTGGCTACTACTTGCTTTTTTGGATAATTCTCGTGGATTTTATTTATCAAACAATTGGCATAATTGAGTTCTCCAAAGGGATCGTCTTTGCAATCTAAGGAACGTTCATTTACCGAGAAGTCGAGCTAATAAGGTTAAATTTAATTTTAGAAAATTCACCAAAGTTCTTCTGCGTCCTAAATTTATCTCATTAACTAGCCGCCTATTTAAAATTAACCCATCTAGCACGCTTCAATTACCACACCATGCTACTGTCTATTAGTATAATTAATATTTGTCACTAAATTGTCAATTTTGAGCCTAGCTAATTAAACGAGACATAGAGGAAATGTTTTAAATTATACAATTCTAACGAGCATACAATTTATAATTCAAACAATTCTTATTTAGTGAATTATTTTCTAATTAAAAAATGAGGGAGAAAAAGGAATAAGAGAGGTAGACAAATTGTATTTGTTGACAGCTTTATTCACACATCTCCCCACCTACTTACTACTGCCAGACTGTCCACGCGCCCACCCCGTACGTCACGCCCCTACTAACTCACCACAGCCGTCCGATCACTCTTTTCATCCTCCTTCGTACACTTGTCAATCATCCCGCCGCTCCCTCCGCCTTTACGCCTAAAAACAAATTGTTCACCCATCGGTATCACAACTGCTCTGTGCAACCTGTTCAAAACCACACACGTGGCGCATTCTTATTGGTCATTCTGATCGCCAATCATAAGCACGAGTTCTCGCGTATCTTCAATTTCTCGCGAGAGGATATCGCCGGGCCGGGCCCATGGTTTCTGCACCTCCCAGTTCCCGACCAGGGAGATGATAATCGTGCAAAATTCCCAGAAATTTTTGGTCGAATTTACGAAATCTGCCATCCCGGAGGAGAGAGGAGATAGAAACACAGAAGAGAAGAACACGAAATGGATTGAATATTGAAGAGCCTTACAAATAATCTTTATCCAGATACCAGGAATGGATGGAGAAGAAAGAAGAATTAAGAAGTGTGGATTGAAGCAGAAATAAAAATCGAAAAATTAAAAATTAAAAAAGAGAGATAATTCATAATTATCAGACACGAAGATCATGATATTCGACGACAATTCCTCGCTCCCTCTGATAGATCTGTAATCTCCGAGGGAGAGACTGCGGGATTTATAACCTTCATTTCCGTAGAAATTTTCTTTGTTTCTTTCGAGTCCACGATCTTAAATTTGACATTTCAGATCAAATATGATGTTTCTGTTTTTTGTTTTTTGTTTTTTTGGTTTTTTTTTTTTGACTTTTTATACAAATCAGACTCTAACGATCTTCGGTGCTTTGACGACTGGATTTTCCCTTGCTATGGCATCGCGACCGGCGGCCTTGTAATCGAAGCTGCAGTCATGGCGATCGGAGTACCGGTGCTCGGCGCAGAAGAGCTCCCCGCATCGACACCGAAATCCGGTCAATCCGACTCTCTTTCTGCATCCGGAGCATCGATTCACCTGGCGCTTGGCAGATTCGTCAGATTTGGACCGATCCACGGACATAATCCTGCAACTATCGCGAACCGAATCCATTAGCACAGGCGATCGAGATCTAGATCTGGAATTTTTCTCGCCGGACAACTTGCGAGGTACCGATATTCCAGTCGTGGAAGACGACGTCGTGGCGGTGGTAGCCACCGCCGCCGCCGCTGCCGCCGTGGTCGCGTTGAAGCACTTCTGGCACATGTTATTGGTGGTCGGATTACCGGTAAATCCGCAGTTGTTGACGCACAACGTGATGGTCTCCGGAACCTTCAGCTCCGTCTCCTCCTTCTCGGTCCTCTGCGCCATATCTCCGATCCGATCCTCCAAAGATTTTACAGAACAAGAACAAGAAAAAGAAAAAGGAAGAAAGAATTGAGAAGAAAATTTGGTGTGGATTTGGGATCGTGGAAGCGAGGGAGCGGTAATATGAAGGGATGGGAAAGGGTCGTAATGGCGATAGAATATGGGCCTCAGATACACGCGCATCAAACAATTTTTCTCCTTTTTTTCTCTTTGACATAAATACCCTTCCCTTATTTTGCTATTTACCTTCCCGCCCCCGTGGTCCTGAATTAGCTCTGACGTTGCAGGCCTTCGTTAAAAGGATAATTATAGCCTGTGGTCCCGCCTATTTTTATTTCCGTGGGTCCGCTCCCTCAAACCGCATGATTTTTTTTTTACTTAACTGCCGTAGGATGCTCATTGGCTGTGCTGCAATTAAATGAAAAGTCAAATACACAATTCATTTCGAGGACTTCATTTTTCGATCATTACTCGTCTAAAATCTTTTTCTTTTCAATCAAATTTTACCAACTAAATTTTTACTAGTGATTTGAAAACCAAAAAAAAAAAATGATTTTACCTTTTTTATCTAATTTATAATGAAAATTATTTGAAATTAATTAAATTAAATATATTTATTTTGATGTTCGTTAAAAAAAATTGAAATTAACTTGTAATTAAAGTTTAACTACAACATATAAAGTTGGAGATCGAACTCTCTTAATTAAATATATATATATATTAATTATTGTCAAGCTATATTCACCTACTTAGCATCTAAATTTAAAGTTTAGTTTGATGAATCGATAAAAAGATTCACTTCATGATAATTTTAGAATATAATAATTAAATATTTAAATTAATTAATTAATTAATTAGTCATAATGAATGATAAATAGCATTAAATGAGGCAACATTTATCTTGTCTTGTAAAAATTAACCTCATTAAGTTATCAATAAATTTGTTATTACCATTATTATTATTATTTAGTTTAAAATATTATTTTAGTCTCAGTGTTTTCAATAACAATTTTAGTCACTTATTATTATTATTTTTAATCAAACTTAATTTTATTTTTAATCTCATATTTTTCTATTACAATTTTAGCACAAAACTTGACTCAATATATTTCTTAGAATATAAACCATTACTTTGACAATATATTTCTTAGAATATAAATCATTACTTTATATTAAAAAGTTTCCGTTAGGTATAATTTGTATTAATTTTTATAAATAAATATTAAAATGTCCACTTTTTAAAAGTAAATGAACAATGACGAATATTTCGAACGTACATAGATTAAAATAAAACAAAATTTTAAAGTATAATTACCAAAATGAACTAAAACAAAAAATACATGGACCAAAATAGTATCTTAAACTATTGTTTAAATATCAAGTATAGTTTTATTGGTTAAGGCTAAAATAACTTTCTAGGGAGGTTTAAATCTTCCATCCTCTCATTACAGTCCTAAAAAAATAAAATTTTTGTTTAAAAAATGGCCAATGCCATAGTTATACGGTCATTTCGTATTTTCGTCTCCTTGTTATAAATTTTTGCCATACAGATTAATTATTTCAAGAAAATTACACGACCTTCGCACGAGTGCTTACTAGTCTAATAATAACATCTCTTTAAGACATGTTTTTCCTTTCCATTGACCAAATCGATCAATCTCACTCAAATACAATAACATATCTCAAGTCATATAATTTATCGACTCCGACACTAGGTAGATTTTTTTAGTCAATTTTACATTTTTCGTCAACTAAATATTCAAGGTTCATCAGTCGTAGTCAATACAAACTACGATTAATGCATGTAGTTAATTATGTACCGTATTAAGAATCACGAGATAATCGATGCATGTAGTTAAGTGAATGAAAATATTCTCTAGGATTGGACAACCTAAAAATAAATAAGATATATTTTGACCAACTTTTAAAATTTCCTTTATTTTTTTAAGTATTTGAGACTATTTTGGACTCAAAGAGATCAAATTTGGACCTCACGTAATCTCCATCAAGATTGAGATGAGATTTTTTTTCCCCCTTATTCTCTTGTGTAGGCTAGTGATGAGTCCATGACTAAACACTCCTATCTTCCCCAATTCAAATACAAAATTTGGCTCAATTTTTATATACAATAATTATACAAAAAATTTTCAACTACGAAGATTTAATATATTTCTATATTAAAGTAAATGGGCTACACATTACAATAAATTATAAATAAATAAACATAAATACTACCATACCTAAATCATGGCAATCAAGCATGTGCCTCGCCAACAAAAATATAAAAGTTACACACTCAACAATTAAAAAGAATATCAACTTTTTTTCTCAAAAAAAAAAAATAAAGTTTATAATTTTTTAAAAAAGGAAAAATAATAATAAATTTATAAAAGGGGTTCAAATATCAATAATTGGAAGAGATAAATAAATAAATAAAATAAAATTCGGGTACAGACCGAAGGTCACGTAGGTAATTTCGCAACGTACACGCCGAGGCAGGTGGAGGCGATGATGGAGAGAGAGAGAGAAAAAAAATTAGTTATTATTTAATTTAAATTAAGTTTTAAAAAATGGAGGCTTTTGAAGCCGCCCTATCTGACCGCAGCGCAGCGGAACATTTCTCCGCTTTTGGAACTGAAAAGGGGTATTTTAGTCATTTGTCTGTCACCATTCACCAAGCAGGGAAACAGCAGTAGCGCCTGCTTTTCTTTTTTCCTTTTTTTTGTTAAATCAAATCTTTTTTTTTAAATATCAATTTATACCCCTAAATTATGTTCCTTGAATCAACTCAAACTCCAAACGAATAATAGTATTAATTAAAATTTTGAATTCTCAAGAAAATAAATTCTCGTTTGAAAGTGCAAGATTCTCGTGATTTTACATTAAAAAAAAGTGTAAACAAGCGAGAATTATGAGTTAATGATTTTAATAGAGAGTACAATTTCATTTCACTTATATAAAGATTTGGGATTTTAATTGATATAATAATTTACGATTTTAATTTATCCAACTCCCAAAATTTAGAGGTATAAATTGATTTTTTTTTTCTCTCTCGTGAAATACCGCCTTACACGCGTCTTCCCCCCACTTGTCCTAAAAAAATAAAAATAATAAAAATAAAAATAATAAAGTCTTTACACGCCAAAAATCTCTCTCTCTCTCTCTCTCTCTCTAGAACTGCAAATTCAAAGAGAAAATTGAATCTCACAAGCATACTTTTTTTATTTTAAATAAACATTTTGTTTCAACTTTTAATGAATTAATTTGGATGAGTTGACCTTGACCCGCCACATTTTACTAAACTGAAAATCGTGTGCAATTTTCTCTAAAAATTAAATTGACATAAGTTATGACACGTTTCTAAAAGCTATTTTAAACGTTATTTTCATAATTAGCTTTTTTTTTCTAAATAAATTTGACTTGTGTTCTTCTTCTTTTTTAATTAGTGAAATGGTGAGATAGAGATAAGAAATTAGGAGAGAAAAAATATAATAATACACGTGAAATGTCAGAAAAAGTCAAATGTATGAAATAATCATTTTATTATAATTAGATTTATTTTTTCAATTAACAAATATGACATAATATCAAACTTTTAGCGAATAAATATGTACCTTATTCATTGAGCCTATTTTTAAGTTAGTTCGATGTATGTACATTCAATCTCTCAACTGTGGATTAATTTTATCGAACAATGACAATTAAATAAAAATATTGACTCGATAGGATTATCTAACTACATTCTTAATTGAATAATAATTCCATCCCCGTTTCTCATTTTTATCCATAATAAAGATACTTGCCTCGAACAGGGGCATATACAAAAATAAAGAAATAGACAATAGTTTGTCTAAGACTATACACAAAAGAATAGAAAATCACTAAATCTTTGGAATTGAATAATATTATATGCATGTCAACTTTAAAATGTAAAATTTTATTTATATTTGTAAATCACGTCTATTTACTTTTTTTTTCTTTCTAATCTTCCTTAGGTCCCTTCCCGACATTAATTTTCATCCTTGTCAACAATCTAACTATGATTGGTTGAAGATTCTCACAATAATATTTAGTAGAAAATTTTCAATACTATTTTGGTCTCATAAACTTATATTAAAAAGTTTATATTGTATATAAAAATTGTATTAAATTTTTTTAGATATAGATTAAAACAGTTACTTTTTAAAATCAGTATAACTAAAACATACGATCTCAAAATACAATTTATACTAAAACATACAATCTCAAAATACAATAATTCAAATGAATACTAACCTTTAAAAGGTATATAAATAAAAAAAAAAAAGGAGACGAAGTATATATATTTAACCATATGCAATTTGGTTTAAAAATTTACATCGCTGTCAATAAATAAGTGTGAACATTAAGAAATTAAAATAATATTATGGAAAAAGAGATGTGAATAAAATGACGACATGATTGGGGTTTGAGGGGATGGATGGGGAAATGGTTGAGAAATTTGGGGAAAGGAAAAAAAAAAGGGATATTTAATATTTTAGAACTAATGGAATTAGTGGGAATAAGCTGTCGTCCATTAGGGGGGAGCATCAAGGGCAATGCGTTGCGATTTTGATACGGAATCGCAATATTCTTTAATTAATCCGCCTCCAAATTAATTTAATTAAAATATAATGTCCACGCTGGCTGCTAGCGGGGCCCACTTCTCACTCGGTTCGCAACTCGGCAATGGCAATTGCTTCTCCTCTTGGGACCAAGTCAAACGTTGACCTTTACCTTTACCTTTCCATTTTATTTCTATTTTTAAATTTCCTCATTTGGCCACTCGAGTCCCAAGTTCCACAATCAATTTTTTCTTTCTAAAGGTTAAATAGTAGTTTGGTCATGTATTTTAGCCACGTCTATTTTAATTTGTGCTTATATTACTTATTGTAATTTTAAACATTCGTTTTGATTTTTGTAATTTTAAAAAATACAAATTTTGATATCCAATCGTAAAATTTCAAGATAAATTTTATACACAATACAACCACAAATGTATAGTTACTAAGAAAAAATAGTGAATTTAGTGTGTGCAAAAATTATAGTTGAGAGAAAATATAGAAAAATGAGAATAAAATACCAAAATTGTCACTTTTTAAAAGTATAGATACCAAAATGAATGTTTCAGAGTATTAAGACTAAAATGAACAAAGTTCAAACTATAAATACTAAAATTGACCTTTTGAAGTAACACGAACCAAAATCGTAAGGGACCGAAATAATTGATTTTTTCTTTTTGACTAAAGTTCTACAACCCAAAGTATTTGTTTGCAGAACTTAATACAGCAATTATTTTAATAAATGAGTGATCTTTGTGTACTTTGTATAGTTTAAATATTATTTCGTCTATTTTTAATGTAATATTCTTTAGAAACATATAAAAATATTTATATAATGAGAAGACGATCATAAATGGTAGTGAAAGAGGAAAATAGACAATGGTTTTCTAAAATTGATAGATTGGTTAGGTGTTAGTTTGAGTGCAATTAAGTCAAATCCGCCTATCTACACATACTTACTCCAACAAAGGACACACATTATTTTAGTCACTGCCATTTGAAATTTGATTTTTCATTTGTTTGATTAAAAAAAATATGCGGCCTCTTGGTAAAGTTTCAACGAATGGTATCCATGAATGAAATGACTTGTAAAACAGAGTTAGCATTCCAATACTTTAGTAATTACTTATCCTATCTATACTTGAGAGAATATAATTTCACGTATATTGTGTGAGAGGCAGAGATCGAGATGAGCTTTTGACAAGACTTTCGACAGCGTTTAAGTGGTTCTTTGACTGTCCGTAGATCATGACACCTTATTTGAGATTATGTTTGGTGCTTTGTCCCTACAAGTGTTCGATCTTCAAGGTTGGTCGAGAAGTTAAATATAGCTCGCTCGACTAGACCTAAAATCCATTGAACGATAAAGTTCAGAATGAGATGTCGATATGTGGTAGGCGATAATTCACCTACACCGTTATTTTTGTAAGTTCGTATATGGACAATTTTCATCGTTGACGTTAGGATGATAACTTTAAATATTATTTCTAAATAATTTATCAATTATTCAACCAATATGATAGGATAAATTAGGAGATGGTAGACCAACTTATAAATACAATTAATTTTATTGAGATAATTTATTATAGATTGTTTTTTAATTCCTTTATTAGTGCAACACAATTCTTACAAATATATATTATGTGTTGACGAGGCCACCAAGTAACAAATAACTATTTGTGAAGAGTTCTCGAATACTTTCCAAATTATTATTATCTTTTTTCAATTGAAATATCGCCAAAACCATACAATTCTTTTATGAAATTGAACCGAATAACACTTCACATATTATAAATTTGCTTATTAATTAATAGCGTTTGCCCGACAAAGACAGTGTCAATTTCCATTGAAAATTGTGCATTTTGTGTTGCATTTTCCATCGATTTAACTATTAAAAAAAACTATTTTAAAGCTAAATTCCATTGAAAAAGCTCAACGTTTGCTTATGGTTAGAAAATACTTTTCGCCTTTATATATTTTTTTAAATAAACAATTAATTTAATTTAATTATTATACTTTGGTAATAATTTTGTAGCAGGTAACAATTTACAAATTTCAAATGACATATTAAATTCGAGAATTAGATCGTTGGAGTTAAAAGTTTATAGACTTTTCATTAATTCAATAAAAGTAGGCGAATTATTTTTTCTTAATAAATAACAACATATATATATTTTTTATATTAGCTATCTCTTTTTTTTTCCTAATGTTATTTTCTTTCACTTTAGAGTTTTTCTAATTATATAATTTCCAACATTATATTGTAATTATGCTTACAAATTGTATAATTTATTGTTTTTCTTTTCATATCAATTGTGAAAAATTTTCTAGAAAGAAAACCGACACTATAGTCATCAAATGGTCCCCCATAAAATTTATATAAAGGAAGAAAGTGCAATTATTTTTTCATCACAATTTAACAATTTTGATTGTTGACTTTGGATTACAAAACCATCACCATCTTACAATCTTATTTAATGAGATATACGCCAATTTGAATGATTTATTTATTTATTACAGACAAGTATTTCATTAATAAATTATTTGTCAAGAAGACGTAGAAATGGAAGAATGTAATTTTTTTTTCTTTATTCTTAATATTTATGTGTTCGACGATCAACAGTTATTTATTATTATCACTTAAATATATTTTATCTATTTTCATTAATCTTTCTTAATTGTCAATACCAAAAAGCATGTAAATATCTTCAATCTTAAATATTATTCATACTTACCCATACAAAAATTGGCAGTTATTTATTATTATTTTTAAAATATATTTTATCTCTCTTTCTTTTATCTATTAATCTCTCTTAGTTGTCGAGATAAAAAAGGATCTAAATATTATTTTATTATATTTTTACATGTATAGTTCACACAATTTTCATTGAGGTCTAAATGGAAATCACAAGTTTAGTTCCTAAATTTTAATGCTCAAACTTAAAGAATAGTTTAACAAGTCTATAAACTCAGGGATCCATTTCAGTAAAGCGGATACTTCAGATCCCGCTTGAACGAAACGGAAGATATTGTCGATAAATAGAAGCACGTCTTGTTCATTAACATCTCGGAAATATTCCGCCATAGTTAGGGCAGTTAAACCAACTCTCATACGAGGTACCGACGGTTCATTCATATGAGCATAAACTATAATCACTTTTGATTTTGCAATATTTTATTCATTAATTACTCCGAATTCTTTCATTTCCATGTAAAGATCATTTGGTGTACATGCCAACTAATGAGCTATGCTCATATTGGCAATAAGTTTATAAATTTTAAGAAAGTATATGGTTGGTTATTGATTTTTCAAATTTACGTCTAAGAAATAATTGATCTATTGTATATTTTTTATAAAAATTCACGAACCTATAGAATTCGAAATGTCAATTACCTATTAGATATAAAATTGAAAGTTTATCAACCTATAAAACATTTTCTAAAGTTAGACGAGACACAATTGTGAAATTCAGAGACTAACCTTGTAATTCAACCTATTAAATACTGACTCCACCCACATTTTTTTTCGAGTTTAACATTGTAGAGGTCGATATTCAAATATATAAACTTTATAATAGACGTATAATGTCTTAACCAATTGGATTAGATTTGAAATTCGGCACTTGTGTGAATATCATATACATTAGCAAAGTGGGCAAAGTATATAAATGAAGAAAAACTGAGGGGTGATTTTGTAAATTTAGGATATGCAGTTCCTATTATAGTTTTGTGAATTTAAATGTCTTTCTAGCTTGAAATAGCAAATACCAAGAATACCACTACTCCCATCTTTCATTGCGTGGTTCCCTTTTTGCACATGTTATTTGCATGCTATGCTACACCTTATAAACTATACTAATTTCTCATGACAATTAGTTACTTTTTTTCTTTC